AGACAGTCATGCAATCTTCGTATGTCTGTACATGCTTTCCTTTTTTCCCCCTTGGGACTGGGTGCAGGAGTGTGCCAGAGGGGTGTTATATATACGGTTAACATTACTGTGACGAAGGTTTTCTCTATTTTAGGAATGGATGTGATGTCGACTTGCGATGTTTTGTAAACGAGCTAGAGAAAAGGATAGATGGAGATCATGATAGAGAAAGAACATGACGTAAAGAAAACTTAGAATATGACACGAGTATAAAAACAAAATAGAATAAAAAAAAGAAAAACTTGTAACGAGAGCATGGCATGAGGAGAACATGACATGCAGAAAATTTGATATAGAGAGAACATGAAATAACTAAATGTAACAGGAACATGACATAAAGAGAACATGATATAGAGAAGACATACCATAAAGAGAAGAGATATTAGGTCAAACTTATGGCATAAGGAAACACGATAGAGAGATAAACTTACGCCTTTCTCTCCCACTGAAGCCCCAAAGCCTCAAGGGTCGCCTGTCCCCTTCCGCCCGCGTGCCGCCGGAATCGCCTTTCACTAGCCGTAACGGCACCGCGGGCGAGCTTCATCCACTCCGCCCGCCGTCATCCGCCTCATCCGTCTCTCTTTCGCGCTTCACAAGTCGGTTAATTGGGTCGCGAGGTCGCTGTATCCGGACCCCCTTCTGACTGGAAGGAACCGCGGAGGAGACCGGCTGACTGGGTTGGCTCACTGGCTGATGGGGTTGACTGGTCATTGAGGGGGATTGTTGTCATTATTGTCGTCTGTGTGTGTCTGCGTGTCGTCTGTGTGTGTCTGCGTGTCGTCTGTGTGTGTCTGCGTGTCGTCTGTGTGTGTCTGCGTGTCGTCTGTGTGTGTCTGCGTGTCGTCTGTGTGTGTCTGCGTGTCGTCTGTGTGTGTCTGCGTGTCGTCTGTGTGTGTCTGCGTGTCGTCTGTGTGTGTCTGCGTGTCGTCTGTGTGTGTCTGCGTGTCGTCTGTGTGTGTCTGCGTGTCGTCTGTGTGTGTCTGCGTGTCGTCTGTGTGTGTCTGCGTGTCGTCTGTGTGTGTCTGCGTGTCGTCTGTGTGTGTCTGCGTGTCGTCTGTGTGTGTCTGCGTGTCGTCTGTGTGTGTCTGCGTGTCGTCTGTGTGTGTCTGCGTGTCGTCTGTGTGTGTCTGCGTGTCGTCTGTGTGTGTCTGCGTGTCGTCTGTGTGTGTCTGCGTGTCGTCTGTGTGTGTCTGCGTGTCGTCTGTGTGTGTCTGCGTGTCGTCTGTGTGTGTCTGCGTGTCGTCTGTGTGTGTCTGCGTGTCGTCTGTGTGTGTCTGCGTGTCGTCTGTGTGTGTCTGCGTGTCGTCTGTGTGTGTCTGCGTGTCGTCTGTGTGTGTCTGCGTGTCGTCTGTGTGTGTCTGCGTGTCGTCTGTGTGTGTCTGCGTGTCGTCTGTGTGTGTCTGCGTGTCGTCTGTGTGTGTCTGCGTGTCGTCTGTGTGTGTCTGCGTGTCGTCTGTGTGTGTCTGCGTGTCGTCTGTGTGTGTCTGCGTGTCGTCTGTGTGTGTCTGCGTGTCGTCTGTGTGTGTCTGCGTGTCGTCTGTGTGTGTCTGCGTGTCGTCTGTGTGTGTCTGCGTGTCGTCTGTGTGTGTCTGCGTGTCGTCTGTGTGTGTCTGCGTGTCGTCTGTGTGTGTCTGCGTGTCGTCTGTGTGTGTCTGCGTGTCGTCTGTGTGTGTCTGCGTGTCGTCTGTGTGTGTCTGCGTGTCGTCTGTGTGTGTCTGCGTGTCGTCTGTGTGTGTCTGCGTGTCGTCTGTGTGTGTCTGCGTGTCGTCTGTGTGTGTCTGCGTGTCGTCTGTGTGTGTCTGCGTGTCGTCTGTGTGTGTCTGCGTGTCGTCTGTGTGTGTCTGCGTGTCGTCTGTGTGTGTCTGCGTGTCGTCTGTGTGTGTCTGCGTGTCGTCTGTGTGTGTCTGCGTGTCGTCTGTGTGTGTCTGCGTGTCGTCTGTGTGTGTCTGCGTGTCGTCTGTGTGTGTCTGCGTGTCGTCTGTGTGTGTCTGCGTGTCGTCTGTGTGTGTCTGCGTGTCGTCTGTGTGTGTCTGCGTGTCGTCTGTGTGTGTCTGCGTGTCGTCTGTGTGTGTCTGCGTGTCGTCTGTGTGTGTCTGCGTGTCGTCTGTGTGTGTCTGCGTGTCGTCTGTGTGTGTCTGCGTGTCGTCTGTGTGTGTCTGCGTGTCGTCTGTGTGTGTCTGCGTGTCGTCTGTGTGTGTCTGCGTGTCGTCTGTGTGTGTCTGCGTGTCGTCTGTGTGTGTCTGCGTGTCGTCTGTGTGTGTCTGCGTGTCGTCTGTGTGTGTCTGCGTGTCGTCTGTGTGTGTCTGCGTGTCGTCTGTGTGTGTCTGCGTGTCGTCTGTGTGTGTCTGCGTGTCGTCTGTGTGTGTCTGCGTGTCGTCTGTGTGTGTCTGCGTGTCGTCTGTGTGTGTCTGCGTGTCGTCTGTGTGTGTCTGCGTGTCGTCTGTGTGTGTCTGCGTGTCGTCTGTGTGTGTCTGCGTGTCGTCTGTGTGTGTCTGCGTGTCGTCTGTGTGTGTCTGCGTGTCGTCTGTGTGTGTATGTGTGTGTGTGTGTGTGTGTGTGTGTGTGTGTGTGTGTGTGTGTGTGTGTGTGTGTGTGTGTGTGTGTGTGTGTGTGTGTGTGTGTATGTATGCATGTGTCTGTGTGTCGTCTGTGTGTGTCTGCGTGTCGTCTGTGTGTGTGCGTCAGGATGTAGCGAAGAGCTGGCACGGGCTGAGTGTCTAGTTACATCCTCCAGTAATTGGGTTTATTGTCGCTCATGAGGAAGAGACGGGATGTGGTGGCAGTGAATTTTTTCCTTTCCTTTTTTTCAAATCGAGTTTAGTGTCATGTATATTTTTAAAAGTCATTTTTGTGTGTAATTGGGTGTGATGCCTATATTATGAAGTTAATCCTCGTATGCATTGCAAAGATTGTTATCGAGACCGATAGACAGGCAGGCAGACAGACAGACAGACAGACAGACAGACAGACAGACAGACAGACAGACAGACAGACAGACAGACAGACAGGTAGGCAGGTAGACAGACAGGCAGGCAGACAGACAGGCAGGTAGATAGGCAGGCAGGCAGACAGGTAGGCAGACAGACAGACAGACAGACAGACAGACAGAGGCGGAGACGGAGAGAAAGATCTGGAGCGAAAGATGCACAGTACATGGATTGCGAAAGCTGGGAGGCAAGTGTACCCTCATCCACCTCGTTCGCAATGCACATTCGAGGTTCTTAAGGAGGTTGCGTGTGCTAAATGGGTTCGTGCGATGTGCAATGGCATAATGTTGCAGAGATATTTCAGCTGATGACACTTGCTAGGTGTCACGGCTGATTAGAGAAGATTCGCAGATGTTGCTTTGTTGATGATTTGAGGCGGGGTGGTGGCGAGAGGGGGGGGTGAGAAGGGGGTAAGGGAGTGGGGGAAGGGATGCCTAGGGTAGGGAAGGGAGTGTGATGGGGGTGAGGGAGTGGGGATTGGGGAGTGGGGAGTGGAGTGGAGTCAGAGGTTGGGGGCCGTGGTTATTTGGGTGTCGTGGGGGGGGGGGGGGGCGAAAGGGGTTATTGGGTGTGCATGAATAGTCCTCGTCTGTCTCTTCATGACGCCCATTACACGCCGTCTGTGCTTCTGTGACATGACCTCCGTTGACCCTGGAGTGACAAGGAACAGCTTCTGTCTCTTGGGGAGGCGATCGGTATCGACTCGCATGACCGCCTTTTTTTTTCCTTTTTTTCATTTTTTTTGTTGCTTTCTCTGCTTTCCTGTTGGTTTGTATGTTTTTTTTCTGTCTGTATGAGTATCTCTCTGTCTGTTTGTCTGTTTGTCTCTCTCTCTTTCTCTTTCTTTCTTTCTTTCTTTCTTTTTCTTTCTCTTTCTCTCTCCTCTCCCTCCCCCCTCTCTGCCTTGTATCCCTCCTCCCTCTCTTCTGTCTTCTCTCCCTACCCCCCTCTCTTTCTGTCTTCTCTCCCTACCCCCTGTCTCTCTGTCTTCTCTCCCTCCCCCCTCTCTCTCTCCCTTCCTCCACTCTCCCTCTCCTAGTTTAGCCATCTTTTAAAACTTTATAGAAGTTCCATTCCCCTCTTTTCTTTGTTTCCCTGACAAGACGGATGGATGACACGACGGCCCGACCTGCGCCTCAAGAGGGAGTTGGAAGTGAAAACAAAACAAAACAAAACAAAACAAAAAAAACGAAGATGGGGAAGAAGAAAAAAAAAAAACGAGGGCGCGCAGGTGTTGCCTTCGAATTATAACGATGTCGCGGAATACCAAAGGAAGGCGGGCGGGAAGGGGGGTAAGGGGAGGGGGAGGGGGAGGGGGGCGTTGTCTCTTTGGAGAGGCCACTCGATGAAAATGCATGCCATTTATTGCACACGCACACATGCACACACGCACGCACACGCGAACACACACACACACACACACACACACACACACACACACACACACACACACACACACACACACACACACACACACACACACACACACACATACACACACACACACACACACACACACACACATATATATGTATGTATATATATACATATATATATATCTATATATATATATATATATATATATATATATATATATATATATATATATATATATATATATATATATATATATATATATATATATATATATATATATATATATATATATATAATTATTTTTAATCCACCGAGTAATAAACCCAGATAATCTCGCACTCTTTACTCACGCAATATCGCACACCGCTGAGCACTGTGCAGCCGAAAGTGCAACGGAGGGAGGAAGGGGGGAGAGGGAGACCAAACCAAACATGCAATAATATGATTCGACATTAAACGTCTGAATAATAATTGATGAAATACATTTGCTTTTGTTTACCTTTTTTCGTTTGATTGTTTATTTTTTGTTGTTATTACTGATTATTGTTGCATTGATTCCCCGTGTATAATGTTCCTCTCACCCCTCTCTCACACTAGCTCTTAGAGGGACTCCTCGCGAAGAAGGTTAGTTACATCGCCGGCTCCTCCCCCTCCCCCCCCTTTTTTTGGTGGAGGAGGAATGCCGTGGTTGTTTTACGTTGGCTTTTTGGTGGCTCGGTGGAGGGGCCGGGGGGGGGGGGGTAAGGTCGTACCCCTTGGCCTTACTTCCGGTCCTCTCTTCCCCAAGTGGAGGTGGAGGTGGATGTGATGTGGATCCCCCTCGCTCGCTCCCCCCCCTCCCTCACTCTTCTTACCCACATTCCCACGTTGTTTAATTGTCCTTATGTTGATGTCATATTGATACGTGGGTATATTTTTTTTCCCCCACTTTCTTTTTCTGTATTTTCTTCTTCCATCTTTTTCTTGTTTTTACATTTTTTTCTTTCTTTCTTGTGTCTAAGCTTTCTCTTTGTTCATTTTTTTCTCTTTTTTTTCCTTCCTCTGATCCACACCTTCCATTACGTATGATTTTCCTACATTTTTTTCGATATTTGCAGTTTAGATTAAAAAAAAGAAATCTTGATACACTTAATAAGCAATACAGTAGAACCCCCGCTCCCCACCCTCACCCCCACCCCCCACACACCAAAAAGAATGAATGAGATTAATCTAGAATTTTTTTTCTATAGAATCGTGACTTTTTTAACCAATATATATATATTTTTTTCTTTTCAATTATCTTTAATATAGGTTTAGCTAGTAGTTTATACGTTCTTTTAACCTGGACATAAATCTATTCCGTGAAAAGAAAAGAATCTGAATTTACGCTCGTATCTCCCCGACAGAGGTGGCTGGATCCGCTGAAACCCGTGAAGAAACAGCTGCGCATCAGGACAAAGAGCCTGGGAACATGTGAGTATTTTGGAGCCTGGTTGAGGAATCTCGGTAAAAGGGTTAATAATGTTGATTGTTTGCTTTGTTTTTGCTTGTTGTTATCTTGTTTGTATCGTGGGCATCTTTTTTTTTATGATTTTTTTTTTTTTCTGGAGATGCCAATTTGTGTGTGTGTGTTTGTGTGTGTGTGTGTGTGTGTGTGTGTGTGTGTGTGTGTGTGTGTGTGTGTGTGTGTGTGTGTGTGTGTGTGTGCGCGTGCGTGATTTCAAAGTATTTGAAGATATTTTATTATTTGAAGTATTTGAAGATATAGTAGATAAAACAAAACAAAAAAGTTATATGTCATAAGAGTATAATATAAACAAAGCAAAAACACAGGTGACATTTGGTCATGTCAAATGCTCGTGTATGCCACTGCTTCCCTTAAGAGTCGAGGAAGTAGCCGTTCCGAGGTTTAAGAGCAGAATACATCTTTTGGTGGGTGTATGGGGACACTGCCGGTTAAATGGGACGTTGGTGGGTGTATGGGGACACTGCCGGTTAAATGGGACGTTGGTGGGTGTATGGGGACACTGCCGGTTAAATGGGACGTTGGTGGGTGTATGGGGACACTGCCGGTTAAATGGGACGTTGGTGGGTGTATGGGGACACTGCCGGTTAAATGGGACGTTGGTGGGTGTATGGGGACACTGCCGGTTAAATGGGACGTTGGTGGGTGTATGGGGACACTGCCGGTTAAATGGGACGTTGGTGGGTGTATGGGGACACTGCCGGTTAAATGGGACGTTGGTGGGTGTATGGGGACACTGCCGGTTAAATGGGACGTTGGTGGGTGTATGGGGACACTGCCGGTTAAATGGGACGTTGGTGGGTGTATGGGGACACTGCCGGTTAAATGGGACGTTGGTGGGTGTATGGGGACACTGCCGGTTAAATGGGACGTTGGTGGGTGTATGGGGACACTGCCGGTTAAATGGGACGTTGGTGGGTGTATGGGGACACTGCCGGTTAAATGGGACGTTGGTGGGTGTATGGGGACACTGCCGGTTAAATGGGACGTTGGTGGGTGTATGGGGACACTGCCGGTTAAATGGGACGTTGGTGGGTGTATGGGGACACTGCCGGTTAAATGGGACGTTGGTGGGTGTATGGGGACACTGCCGGTTAAATGGGACGTTGGTGGGTGTATGGGGACACTGCCGGTTAAATGGGACGTTGGTGGGTGTATGGGGACACTGCCGGTTAAATGGGACGTTGGTGGGTGTATGGGGACACTGCCGGTTAAATGGGACGTTGGTGGGTGTATGGGGACACTGCCGGTTAAATGGGACGTTGGTGGGTGTATGGGGACACTGCCGGTTAAATGGGACGTTGGTGGGTGTATGGGGACACTGCCGGTTAAATGGGACGTTGGTGGGTGTATGGGGACACTGCCGGTTAAATGGGACGTTGGTGGGTGTATGGGGACACTGCCAGATAAACCGAACGGGCAGCCGGAACGTGTAGAGCATGTCTTACGATCTTTACGTTCTTTCGGTTTAGAGGAAGCCGGATCAAGGAAGAACTACGAGATGTGTATCTGTTGTTACGGTTAAATGGGGGCGAGGCTATCGGCTAAATGGGGTGCTGTCAATTAAATAGGAATATTGCCGGTTTAGTGGTAATGCTGCCGGTTAAATGGGACGTTGGTGGGTGTATGGGGACACTGCCGGTTAAATGGACATATTTCCGGTTGAATGAGATACTGTGGTTTGGTTATGTAACACCTCAGAAGGAAAAAAAATAGAACTAGAAAGCTTAGTAGAAGGAGAACGAAGAAGAGGAGGAACAAGAAAGCAGTTGGTTAGTTAAATAATGAACTGATAATAGAGGATTAAAAATCAGTAAAAAAAAAAAAAAACGCCGAAAAACAGGAAGGGATGCGAAAAAGTGGGGGTAAGAGCTACATCGGTGCACCCCCCCCCCCGCCCTGAAATTAGGATAGTGGCGTTTAAATGAGGATGCTGTAGGGTAAATAGGGATGTTGCCGGCGAAATGGGGATGCAGCAGGTCTGAATAGGGATATTTCCGGTTAAATTAACGTGTTGCCGGATCTGTGGTAGCGGTTAAGGGCTGAATGCTCGTTACGGCAACGCGATATCTTCGGTATGGCTTCTGCTGGAGGCCTTTTATTGACCGAGTTACGTTTATTATTGGAGCAGATGTTGCTTGTGTGGAAGTAGGGAAGAGGGTGGGGTGGGGGGGAGGAGGGGTGTTCTTACCGCTTCCTCGTTCTCGTCTTATTCTCTTTTATTTCTCTTATTCGGGATAAGCGTTTTGAAGTGGCTTATTCATTACCTAATTTTTTTTCTTATAGAATTAAAATCGCTCTGGAGGAACGGCGTACCCTGGGGAATGAGAGAGAGAGAGAGAGAGAGAGAGAGAGAGAGAGAGAGAGAGAGAGAGAGAGAGAGAGAGAGAGAGAGAGAGAGAGAGAGAGAGAGAGAGAGAGCGAGCTCGTTGATTTAGGCACCTGCAATGCGCCCCCACCAGTCCACCACCTCGATTGACGGCGGCGGCGACGGTGGCGGAGGCGGAGGCTGGATGCGAGGCATGTGTCGGAGGCTCATGACTGATGCAAGGGTCACTCCGCCTGAAATGCTGAAGTGGCCTCGTGGGATAGGACCGAGGATGAGGAAAGAATAGCGCGTCTTTTGAGGACATTAGAAAAAGTGTATATTTTGGGGATAGCGATGAGGCAGAGATAGAACTGTCTAAGAATGTTTATATATAGGAAAAAAATATGTACTGAAAACGAACGTAACGTTTCGAGGTCGGAAAGAGTTCCTCATCATGCGAAGCAAAAATATTTTTGTGTATGCGTTGTTCAGTTTAGCGTTTTGAAAATTATTTTCGGGACGAGAATGAGACGAAAACATCGTATTTAAAGGCCATTTGGGCGAAGCCGCTATAAAGATTGAGCTTTCTGGATGCATTTTGGTTGACTTGGCGGGTGAGGCTGAAGCTAAAAGAAAGCTTTTGAGGCATTTTTTGGTTAGTTTGCGAATGGAAATGAGACCAAAAATTGGACGGTTTCGGTGGCGCCAAAGTTATATGTTAACGGATTTTTTATTTTGTTTATTTTTATTTAGATTATTATACTTATTCCTATTCTTATTGTTGTTTTTAGTGTTGTTATTGCTGCTGCTGTTGTTATTTTCAGAAATAAATGAAAGGTAAAAGACGAAGCAAAATGTGTTTTATGAAAAAAGGAAAAATATCTTTACGCTCGTTATTGCGGCAGACGACAAGTGAACGCTTTGTGTCGCTCGACAAGAGGTAGAATTTATGTTTGAAATGCCACCACGCTTTGTGCCTCAGCTCACAATAACATTCTCTCTTTTTTTAATTTTTCTTCTTCTTTCATTTTTTTGGCATGTTAAGGAGTCGAGTGGAGGATTCAGAAAAGGGGAAAATACGTGAAAGACCGAACCGGGCAGCCAGCCATTGAGGGAAAAGATTCATGGTAGACAGGGAAGGGGAACGTGAAATGATGATGCATTGGCGCTTCTGAGGAAGGAGGGAGGGGAGGGAAGGATGGAAGGAGGGGGGGGGGGGGGAGGAGAGAAGGGGGTGGGAAGAAGGGAAGGAGGGAGGGAATGGGAAGGGGGGAGAAGAGGGGAAGGAGGAGGTTTGGATAAGGGAGGGAGGGAGAGAAGGAGAGGAGGGAAGGGAGGATGGAAGGAGGGAGGGGATGGAAGGAAGGAAGGAGGGAGAGAAGGAGATAAGGGCATTGGAAGAATAGAAGGAGGGAGGGAGTTAGTATCTCTTTCCCTCCCTCCCTCCCTCCCTCCCTCCCTCCCTCTCTCCCTCGCTCCCTCCCCCTCTCTCCCTCTCTCTCCCCTTCTCTCCCTCTTTCCCTCTCCCCCTCTCCTTCTCCCCCCTCTCCCTCTCCCTCTCTCTCCCTCTCCCTCTCCCTCCCTCTCCCTCCCTCTCCCTCTCCCTCTCCCTCTCCCTCTCTCTCTCTCTCTCTCTCTCTCTCTCTCTCTCTCTCTCTCTCTCTCTCTCTTTCTCTCTCTCTTTCTCTCTCTCTCTCTCTCTCTCTTTCGCACATGCACACGCACGCACTCGCCGTTTTAATTCCTTTAAAAATGAATACATTTCTGTTGATATGACTCCTATCTGGAAATCGGATTTACGGATTGGTTTTCGGAATCCCGGATTTATGGGGAGTTATTTTCGCGAGGAAGTGCCGGACGCGGGGCTTGCGTCGTTTGGGGTCAGAAGGGCAAGACGCCGTCGCGGGAAAGAGGTTGAGTTGCCCCCTGGGAGACGAGGTCAATATTTTAGTGAGTTTGTGGGGTGGAGCTTGTAGCTTTATTTATTTATTTATTTATTTATTTATTTGTGGGGGTGAGGGAGGGGGGCAGGTGTAGTGCATTGATTTGTGTTATTGGATTATTGGTTTCCTTGTTTGTGTTTACGATATATGGCAGTCTTTCAGTGGCAACTGGCAATGTTTTTAATTGGAAATTGTAGGAATCCTTTCCTGAAATAAACAAATGAATAAATAGATACAGACAGTATAACGTAAATAAATGAATAAATATATAAAACGGATAGATAAGGATGCTATAGTAAAAGGCAAGTTGATTACATTAGCAGAAGAGACCAATAAGATACTTAGGAAAGAGGTGATTGAAACAGAGAAGTTATATACATACGAAAGAGGTAATAATGCAGAGACCAATAAGAAACTTAAGGAAGAGGTAAATAAAAGAGAGCAAAGATCAATATGAATCAAACGGAAAAAAAAATTAAACGGAGGTAAATAAGGTGTTTTAAGAAAGAAATGTCCAAAACTAGTCAAGTGAGTCTTCGCAGAGACCGGAGCGGACCCTCACGCCACGCTCGTTCATGATTTACGCCAACTCCGGCCCCTTAGCTCATGGGGGGGAGTGAGAGTTAAAGATTTTTTTTCTTTTTTTTTCTTTTTGTTTTTGTATATGACGGTATGAAGAGCAACAGGTGGGTGAGAAGCGTAGATGTTGTGGGATGTTGGATGTGACGCACACGCACATGCACTGGCACAAGCAAAAACACATGCATAGCCGCGCGCACACGCACACCGACACACACGCTCAGCAGATAACACACACACACACAAAAAGAAATATATATATACATATATATATATATATATATACAGACAGATAGATAGAGGGAGAGGGAGTGGGACCGGGAGCGGGAGAGGGAGAGGGAGAGGGAGGGGGGAGGGGGAGGGAGGGGAGGGAGAGGGAGAGGGAGGGGAGGGGGAGGGGGAGGGGAGGGGGGGGAGGGGAGGGGAGGGGGAGGGAGAGGGAGGAGGGGAGGGAGAGGGAGAGGGAGGGAGAGGGAGGGGGAGGGAGAAGGAGAGGGAGAGGGAGAAAGAGAGAGAGAAAGAGAGAGAGAGAGAAAGAGAGAGAGAGGGAGAGGGAGCGGGAGAGGGAGGGGGAGGGAGAGGGAGAAAGAGAGGGAGAAAGAGGGAGAAAGAGAGAGACAAAGAGAGAGAGAGATGGAGGGGGAGGGGGAGAGGGAGGGGGAGAGGGAGAGGGAGGGGGAGGGGGAGAGGGAGGGGGAGAGGGAGAGGGAGGGGGAGGGGGAGAGGGAGGGGGAGCGGTAGCGAGAGAGAAAGAGAGAAAGAGAGAGAGAGAGAGAAAGAGAGAAAGAGAAAGAGAAAGAGAGAGAGAGAGAAAGAGAAAGAGAGAGAGAGAGAGAGAGAGAGAGAGAGAGAGAGAGAGAGAGAGAGAGAGAGCGAGAGAGATTCAATCACACGCAGAATCAGAGAGGAAGTACAGAAATGGTCGGAAGGCAAAGTTAGGTGAGTAACTTTTCACTTTTAAGAATTTGCTCTTTTTGGCCTGAAAGAGATGGCGAGAGCGAGAGAGGGAGGGAGAGAGGGAGAGGGAGGGAGTGACGAAGAGAAAGAGAGGGAGGGAGTAAGGAAGAGAACAAGAGGGAGGGAGGGAGGGAGTAAGGAAGAGAACTAGAGGGAGGGAGGGAGGGAGTGACGAAGAGAAAGAGAGGGAGAGAGTAAGGAAGAGAACTAGAGGGAGGGAGGGATGGAGTGAGGGAGTAAGGAAGAGAACGAGAGGGAGGGAAGGAAGAAATAAATAAATAAAGAAAGAAAGAAAGAAAGAAAGGAGGAAGGGATGGAAGGAAGGAGGGAAGGGAAGGGTATGGAAGGGAAGGGAAGGGAAGTGAAGGGAAGGGAAGGGAAGGAGGTAAAGAAAAAAGGAAATAAGGAAGGTGGGAGGGAGGGAGGGAGGGAGGGAAAGAATGAAGGAAGGAAGGAGGGTACGAGGGATGGAGAGAGGGGGCGAGAAAGGAAGGAGGTAAATAGTTAGGTAGAGAAGGAGAAACAGAAAGACAGAGACAGAGCCAGAGATAAGAGATAGACACAAAGATAAAGATAATAGAGACAAAGAGGAGAGCAGAGCAGAGGTGAGACGAGACGAGAGGAGAGGAGAGGAGAGAAGAGGGGAGGAGAGGA